GTGCAAGAAAGAAAGTTGCAAAAATTTCAGTTATTAAGGCCTTAGTTTGGAGTCAGTAATTGAAGAAAAGAGAAATAACTTATTATTTTTTTTGTTTTGGACTGAGTTTCCCTTTCTTGTGAGACCCAGAAAACTCGCAGAGGAAGAAGTCCTCCCCACCCCCGCCTTATCCTTGGGGAGGATTAGGAAACGGACAGCTGCAATGAATGAAGCATTATTGAAGGTCTTTCCTGGACATCGACTTTGAGTTCTTGGGAGGAAATCCAAAGAATTATAACTAAAAGTTGCTGAAAATATAAATGGCTTTGTTTCTTGAATAAAATTTTCTTTCAGCATTCCCAGGCCTTTGTCCAAGCCAAGGCAGAATCACAGCTATCAGGCCAGCTGGGAGAACAGGACAGTTTGCAGTCAGCCCTAGAGGCTCTGTCTGCAGGGCACCTTTTCCTCCCTGCAAGGAATGGTTTGATTGTGTGGCAGTGCTTCTCCTGCCTCTTGTGTGCACAGGGCTTGGTTAGTTATCACTGACTCTGTTCTGCTCTCCTTGCTCTGACACTGAGCAATGTCCTCTATGAAGCCTCACACCCTTCAAGAAAAGGCCTTGTTCATTCATGACCCAGGGGAAAATTGAATAGAGAAGAAAAGGCCAAAATAGAGGTTCCTGCTGTTTTTCTGTTATCATTCAAATGTGAATCCAGACCCTCCTTGGACATGGTTTAATCATTTTAATGAGGTATTGAACTTGCTTCCCCTAGTGAAACTTCTAAATTAGTGTAATTTAGAAGACCATAGGCGACATAATAATTGATCTCTAGCCACATGTTCACATAGTTCTATTATTCTGGATTTTATATGCACAGATAAAACATATTTAAGAACCTTTTTTAAAAGGGAATTTTCAAATGCCCTTTTAACAAGTTAATGTTGCTGAGCTTGGTGGTGCAAACCTGTTATCCCAGCTCCTGTTATCCAGGCCGAGGCAAGGAGGATCACAGGTTGGAGGCCAGCCTGGGCAATTTAGTGGAACCCTGTTTCAAAATTTAAAATAAAAAGAGCTGAGAATGTAGCTCAGTGGTAGAGTGCTCTGGGTTTCACCCTCAGTACCAAAAAAAAAAAAAGAGTTCATGTAATATGGAAGGGATGTTCAGATCACAGCCATCATCCCTGGCCTACTTCTAGCAGTGATGATAGGACTTTGCATTCATCCTTCAGACATCTGTATATGTGCACATATATGTCATACATGTGTCCACTGTTTGCCCACTCTCAGAACCAAACACGCTCCTATAAGAATTATTGGTAATGTCCCCTTTTACTGTCATAAGTGGTTTTTGTTTTGGTTCCTAAACCCAGGTGTGCTTTACCACTGAGCTACATCCCCAGCCCTTTCTATTTATTTATTTTTTTTATTTTGAGACAGGGTCTCACTAAATGGCTGAAGCTGGCCTGAACATGCGATCCTCCTGCCTCAGCTTTCCAAGTTGCTGGGATTAAGGGCCTGCTCCATCCCTCTCTGCTCATCAATGAAATAGGTAAGTCATGGTCTTGAACCAAGTTCCCTAGAAATAAAAACGTGAGGCAAGGATTAAGTGCTAATGGTTTATTTGGAAGGTTCAATCCCAGCGCCCTGAGAGTGATGGAAAAAGAGGAGAAAAGGGCAAGAAAGACAGGAAAACAAGGCAAAATGATACATTAGTGCCACGCGAGGCCCAAAGAGGCAGCCAGCAGCAGGTGTCTTTGTCACATGGTATATCTCAGGAGGGATGGAGAATGGAACAACCATATCTCAGACAGGGACACAGAGAGGAGGAAGAGCATTGCTTATCTGCTCAGCACCTTCCTGTTGCTAATCCTGTTCAGTCCCACCAAGATTTAAATCCCCTACAGTTCTGCATTGCTCAGTTTATTACCATTAGCAGCTGCTTGAAAGTCAGCTTCTGAATCCTGCAGCGTGGCTTTTCATCCAAGCTTGGAACTGATGATAGGATCCAGAAATTTAAGTAAGCCTCTCCTCCTGGTTGCCTGGCAGCAGACTACCAGAGGTGCAGGAGGCAGCATTTTCAGGCAAGCAACTGGTTTGCTCTAAGAAGCAGAAACAGAAAGCTGGCCATGGTGGTGCCTGAGCTTGAGTAAGTGGCTGGGAAGTGAGTTGTCAAGATGGTAGTTTGAAGGTATCTGGGAGATACTAAGGATGTGCCCAATATAGTGATATAACCTGTGTAGACTCTGGATTTTTGAAAATTAATATTTCCTAACTGTGAGATTAAGAAGTATTTAAAAAGCAAAGTGATGGTAATAAAATAATATGCATTTCAACATGGTGATGCTTTGGTACTACTATACTAGAAGACAAAATGAAGTAGTTCAACATTTGACTTTTATCGAGATTTGCCATTCTGGAGGCAGCAGTGTCAGGTGGTTTGTACTGTCAGGTACCACACACAGACTTGTTTTTATTAAGTGTTAATAATCTTTGATAATGTCCTGAGCAAAACACAAACACAAACTGTCTTCCATTTACATAATAGTTGCCTATCTAGAATATTCAGAACATATTGAACCAAAATGTTTTCATAGGTAAAATGAAGTCAAGGTCTAGGCTCAGATAATTTTTTTTTTAAATTTTAATATATTTTATTCAACCCAATATGTCCAAAATATCATTTCAACATGTAATCCATATAAAAATTGCCAGTGAGGTATTTTACATTCTTTTATACTGAGTTTTGAAATCCATGTGTATCTTACATTAACATCTGACCTCATTTTGGATTTGCCACATTTCAAGTGCTCAATGGTCATGTGTAACTGATGGCTACCATATTGGACAGTGCGGCTCTAGAACCTGTTTTTTCAAGAACAACTGGACATCCATTTGTGTGTGTGTGTGTATTTTAGTGTGAAATTAGGGGCAACATATACAAAAAAAAAAGTGATCACTGTGCAGGCGAAACAAAACACACCTACACAGGGGGCTACTGCAGCTGCAGAACATTTGTTTACAAACTGGACAAAGGGATGTGGGTTGTGGGGAGTCAAATTTGGGTTCCACTGGTCTCTTTTTTGAGGCTTCATGTGTACCAGGCCCTGTACTTGGTTCTGGAGGTACAGAAATAAATACAACACGGTCCCCATGGGCATCTACAGAAAATGGCCACAGTGCAGTGGGACAGGAAGTACTCTGACCTGGGAAATGGGAGGGTTCTGAGTCTTTGCTCCTCATTCTGTCACCAGCTGGATGGTCTCAGGTGTGTCACTTAACTTCTCTGGGCTGAGTTATATTGGCTTACAACTAAAGAATTGGATCTGATTTAGACAGGCAGTTTTCAGATGGGTTCAAAGAGGTGCCTAGGGCTGAACAGGCAGGGATACCACCCTTACCCCACAGTTCACTCAGGTGGCCCTGCTCCTGTGTTTCCAATACCAGGCTTCTAAACAGAGGTCCCTTGGCTTAAAAGGGCACAGGCCGGGGGGGGGGGGGGGGGGTGCTAAAAACACACAGAAGCAGTTAAACACAAAGGCTCTGGTGTCAGGAACTGCATATGCAAACTCCATCTTTGCCCTTACCCCACCAAGCCAGTTTCTTCATCTATAAAGAGCCCCCTCTTTAGGGAGGATAAGGGTCAAATGAGCTTATCCCTGTGATGCACAGGGCCTGGTACCTATTAAGTGCTCAGGAAATGCCAGCTCCCTGCCTCCTGAAGCTTCCATGGTTATCCTGCAGAAAGAAGATCTGGAGGCAGCTGAGCAGAGTTAGGAAGTTCTCATACAGAAGTCTGACTAAAACGAGGGTCAAATCTAAATGTTTACAAGAGCCACACAGGTTACCTAAGGGCAAGAAACAGGCCAGGTGTGAAGCCAATCCAGAGAGAGACCTAGAAAATATTTCATTTGCCTTTTAACGCTACACAAACAAATCAAAACAAAACAAACAAGACACATGGTGTTAGTCCAATAATGAACTACAGCAGCTCCACAGCCAAGTCCTGGGGACTGTGGTGAAATGCTCACATCCCCTCCATTCAGTGCCTGCCATCTGCTACAGTCCAGAAGTGCAGGCCCAGCACCGTCAGGCTGACAGCTCAGTGAAAATCTGGTTTTGAAAGGCTGGTGACCCATTCTTTTTTCCTTCCTTTCTTTTAAAAAAAAAAAAAAAAAAAAAAAAAAAAAACACCATGTGGCTCAACAAAATGCATCACAGTGCCATTCGAAGGCGGGCCAGGGGCTACCCACTTGTGGCCTCTGACATACATGTTCTGGAGAGTCCTCCGCAGCCCTGAGGGTCTGGAGGGCCATCAGGCAGTTTCTACGGCAAGATTCTTACAATCTTCAAGATTTTCTCCAAAACCTCTTCCCCAGCAGAGCCGTAAGAATCAGGGTGCAGCTGAGTCTTGGAAAACCCCATTTCTCATCTTCCTGCTCCTCCCAGGCCTCTGGTCACCAGGGACAGTCCATAAGGAAAAAGCAGAAGCAGAGAGGGGTTGGGGTAGGACCCCACATATGCCAGAGAGAGGGCAAGGAGTAGCAAAAGAGGTATCATTTTCCTCTGTTTATTTCAAGAGAACAAAGAATTAACCATCAAATTCTGTACAAAAACATGGCATCAGAGCTGTGGCAACCCTTATGCCAGCCCCTTCCCATGCCTGAGCCCAGAGCCCCCCTCATTTGTGAAAAAACAGGAAAAAACCCAAAACTCAAATTCTGGGGGGGCGTTATTATGAAAAATCAGGGGAAACCTTCCTGGGGCCCCCTTCTTCCCTATCCCCAACCCAGGAACTTGAGTGGAGGCACTGTGGTCCTGGCCACGGTGAGAAGTGGGGCAGGCAGTGGGCAGTTTAGTGTTTGGCAACCAGTGGGGCTGTGGGCAGAACCTGGAAAGGCCTGAGGGGCTCGAGGACCGGAAGAGAACCCTGGCCCGGCCTTGGCCCATAGTACACTCGAAAACAGTTTATAAAAATTGGGGCCAGAGAGTAGAAGAGAAAGGAGTCATCAGAATCAAAAACTAAATAGTGGAAAGATTTTTTTTTTTCTTCTCTAAAAGGCAAAAAACTACAAACAGCCCAGGTCCTGAGCTCCCCAAGACTTGGGTCCTCGATTGCCCCCCACCCCAGCCCGGTAGGAGTGGGTATGGGGAGCAGGGAGAGATGGATTCTTTAAAAAGTCACCCCTGGACGGGAAGGCTCGTCTTCTGTCACCTTCCTCTGCCTCCCGACACTGCCAAGGAGAGGGCTGGTGAGGACCAGGGCTATGCCGGCAAGCTTAGCTTCTTCCCCTTTAGGACTTTGGTGATATAGAGGTAGAAGAAATCGCAGTAGAGGACAGTCTGGACCAGGCCAGCCACGATGGCGATGAGATCGAAGAAGCCCTCAAAGTGGTGGCGCCAGATCCAGTTGAAGAGATACAGGGTGCGGTAGACGCCCAGGGCAAACAGGTAGTGGCTCGTGATGGTCTCCGCCTCGCCAGTCTTGCTCACCATGAACAGTTGCGGCAAGATGGCCACCGACTCCAGGTAGATGGAGAAGGTCCAGAGGATCTCCAGAGGAGTGAAGTCGTGGTTGACCAGGAATGCCAGGATGGCTGTGGGGACAACAAGGAACTCCACCCGGAACGTATCGTGGTTCCCATCCTAAGTGGCTTTGAACTTGCTGTAAATCATCCAGACCGTGGTGAAAGAGCAGGCTGTGTAGACCACCTTCATGCACGTGTTGTAAAGTGAGATGTAGTTAATGAAGAGGTCCAGGTAGCGGGCAGTGAACACCACAGCAAACAGGACCTGGCTCTTCCCTGAAATCCCGGCACACGAGCGGGACTTCCAGATTTTAAGCAGTAGCAAGATGATGGCTAGGAGGTGGGAGAGGTCTCCCAGGAATCGGAAGAGATTCATGGCTGGGGGGGCTCTGGCAGGGCTGAGCTGGAGGGAGGCAGGCTGGTGGGGGCTGCCCCCCTGGGGCTGCTGTTCTGGCGGGCGGCGGGCAGAGGGGCGGGAGAGGGACCCTCCGGTGGGAGGGGGTTCTATGAGGGGGACTCAGATAATTTTAAATGGTTTTCACCTACATGGATCTCAGAGGGCACACAATTGATTGGGAAGTGCTTCCATCTGATGCAGAGCTGTCCTCATCAGAGTGTCAATCAACTCTGGCTGTTGTTTATTAAATAGCAATAGTGGAGTCACTGCCTCCAATCACTGGGATAGCCAAATAGCACTGGTACAGATTTCCATAATGTTCCCAGTGGGGCATAGGGAAGTAGCAATCTTTTGCCTCTTCTTGAGAACGACTTTAAAAGAAAACACAAATGGGGGACATGCATCTTGTGGAACTTGCACATACAGGTTTTGTCCATATTAATATTTTGAGTTGTAGAAATATTCACACATACCTGTGTGCCAGGATTTATTTAGTATTGATGGTCACATTGACTTTTTCTTGGTTTTTGTCACAAATAATGCTGCAAAGATTGTGCATTTGTGTGATTATATCTCTAGAATTAATTCCCACATGACAAAAAGTGCTTTGCATTTTAAATTTTTACGGATTTTTGTCAAATTTCCCTCCAAATGATTACCAAATAGACACCCAGTGATTGCTGAATAAGTGCCTATGTTCCTATCCCTCGTACCACTACACATTATAAAAGTCTAAATCTTGTTAACTGGTCCTGTAAAGATGAAATAGAAAAATTTTGAATATCCTATTGAAAGCCATTTTTTCAGCTCATTTTACATTACTTAGTAGCTCTCAGGCTTGACTTGTTTTTGTATACAGGACATTCATGTGGAAGAGAAATTGGACTTTCAGTGTTTTCTAGGGTAGAGCCAGGGTCACAACTCAAGGTTAGGCAGGCAGAAGTTTTGACTCTAAAAGCACAAAGCCTTGCAAGCAATTCTAGTCATCTAACAATGGAGTGGCCTGCCTGAGGAGATAAGGAACTCCCTCCTCTGTAAGCTGGAAATTTCAATTTCAGGCTAGATGAACATTTTCAAAGACGTTCAAGAAGAGATTCCTGAGTTTACTGGCATATTATATGAGATCAGTGTTTCCCAAAATGTAGTACTTTGACCATGGTGTGTGTGTGTATGTGTGGAGGGGTGACTTTAGGTGGTACAAACTTTAAAACATTTTTTAGTTGGTGTAAATTCATTTTTCTATGTATTTCCCATGTTGCTGTTACTGGAAAACCACATACCTAGATATATGAAGGTAATAGTGCTGAAACTATAGGTAAACTTTGAGCAAAAATGTGCTTTATGATCTCTGAGGTCTTTTTTGAAAGTTCAGTTCAAAAATCTAATCTCAAGAACTGCTGAAGTTTCAGCTAGTAAAAAGATTTTTGAATCAAAGCCTGTTACATTTATTATAAACAATTTAAAAACAATCTAAATTATAGTACAACAGAGAATTCAGGTGCTTAGAACTTGGTGCACATGTCAAATCCCATGAAAATTTATTTAAAAATGCGAGCCCTACATCCTAGGTGAAAACCTATCCTGAAACTAGAGTCAACTTAATAATTTAGAGATAATACTAATATTTTAGAGAGTCTGTTAATGTTTACCACAATGTGATGAAAATTGTATATTTTCAGTGAATTCAGAAAAAAAGATAAGTGAACACACATGAAAACTTGCTAGTGGCGTCCCGTTTTCCACCCTCCAAAGCCAGTCTTGACAGAAAAGAATAGCAGGATTTGTCTTCATACTCCCATAGTCCTCTGTGACTGTCATGAAACTACCATCCAATCCACTATGGTATATATTTGGAATGTAATATAAACTTCTTCACTGGAAATCAGGGGTGAATATTTATTTAATCCATATGTAAACAGTACATGATGTTCATGGTGCTATAAACAGACACACACACACACAAAAACCAAAAACCTCAAGATATATCCAAAAATCATTCTCTCACCCCAGCCTACTCTGATTCCCTCAATATGGCATATTTAATATTTGTAAAATGGGATACAAAGGCCCTGTCTATTAATTTTAGGAGAATCTTTCTGACCATTAAGACCACTCTTTCTGACTTCAACCAAGCAGAGTCAATGAGCTTTTGGACAAAGGACCAGTTGAACAAATTAATTAAGTGCCTCTGCATGGGTATTTTGTGATAAATTTATGGCATTATTTTTCCTACTTACTTCAAATCAGAAAAAAAAATCATATCCATATTCCTATTGGATTTAAAAATTCCTGTTAAAATGGGTTACAGAGAAATCCTCATGCCAGAGAATTCACCCTCATCCAATGACAATAGGCAGCTTACCACAAAGTACAGATTAAAATATTGCTCATCAGTATGGTTTCCAGGTAGGGACAAACACTGTAAATTTAATAATTCATGAGATTGCACACAAAGCAAATTGGAAAAAAAAATTCCGCCAAATGACTCGGTTATCTGTTGACTCAGATATGATACAAATCTGAGCCTGTGCCATGCACACTAACACACATCCAAATAAGATGAAGATATACACTATTCATTCTAACTTTATGAATTCAGAATGAGAAAAAAATTGATTATTTGAAATTATGCATTATAGCCACTCTGATACGATACACTTTAATTGGGAAGAAAAAATGGTTCACATACACAACTGTCTTAGCAAAATTTTCTAGTTCTTTGCTAATAATACATTTTAACTTACTTCAGAAAATGCATTAAGTTTATTCAAATATATTTTTCCTAAAATATAAATATTTAAATTAAATTTTTATAAATGTAGAGGATATAGTTTCTGTTGACTCTCACACAAATATCAATCAGTCCAAGACTTAAGTGATAAGGAAATAATATCTGTAATTATTATGATCATTTTAATTTGTCTATAAATATATATAGGATCTTTGCAACTTAATTAAGAGTCATTAACTCATACTTCATGTAGTACCGAGCACCTTAGATTACATATTGTTGAATTAAACTATTGGCATTAATATAGGCATTTTAATATGTTATTTACAATACACAAGTATAATTCTCTTGTATAACAACATTCCAGTGATTTTGAAAATATATAATGAAAGAGTGCAGTGTAATTTACAAATGTGTCAATGTTTTCCTACAGTATTTAAGCTAAGACTTCACTCTTCAGTATCTTAAAATAGGAAACAAACAACAAAATGTCAATGACCTAAAGCTTTGTTTACTAAAGTATGGTTTATAAAATGTTAGCTTCACAAGATGCTCCCAGAAAGTTCTGTGGGTAAATGTAAGGAAAGACACACTGGATCTACCCACCCAAAGCCCACTTGAAGAATTGTAATGAGCATTAGAGTTTCTGAAGTGGCTGGCAATCATGAAATCTGTTTAACATTTTAAAACTTAGTATTGAACAAAGATTTTTATTACTAAACCCCTATCCAACTGACCCTGGTCAAAGTACCACCCAATCAAAGCCCCTTGGAACTAATGTTGTATGATACTACATACTTTGGGGAAATGTGCTTTAAAATAAAACTTTGCAACTGAATAAACATATACATATAAGGGAGCAAAATTACTTTAAAAAAAAACAGTTTCACTTTTTAAAGCTCTTTGCATAGGTATTTGTGAAAATAAGACTCTTAAAACACACAGGTCTAACACAGAACACTTGTCCACATAAACTACAGGGGAAAGAAGTACAGAAATGCTTACAGAAATTGTAGAGCTAATTTTGAAGGTTTGAGAAAAGTGACTCCAAAATCAAATAATGGATGTTATTTTTGGTGAATTAATTTTGAAGGATAGATGCAAAAGCATTAAATCAGTAATGTGCTATATACTGTCTCAAAATATTTTCATAGAAAAATATCAGGTCATTATATTATTTCCCTGGAATCCCAAGAGTTGCAGATGCTACCAGTAGATTTCACCATATTGCTGGGTCCATATGTAAAACTCAGCATCATCCAGAATTACATGAGACTGTTCGATTACTTGCTTGAAAATGCATGCATACAAGCACAAGCAGAATGAAAGGTCAATCAATTGCTGAGTACTTCCACTGAAAACAGTGAAATGGGGGAGAATTAATTAACCCTCCAACCTGGTGGATTGTTTTATATATATATAAAATCATACATATGCATATATGATATGGACCTATATGTGTGTGTATATATATATGCATATATGATATGGACCTATATGCATAATATGCATATATGTATCAGATGACACTCTCTTTTTAAAAATACCCACAATTTTCTTTCTATAAATAAAGCTGTCAGTTTTGGCTATAAGATAGCAGATCTTGGTGTAAGTGTAGTCCCCAAATTAATCATCTTTTGTACACACAAGTCTTCAGCAAATCTTTGCAATTTAAGCAGTCTACTTTGGCTCAGATTCTGCTAGCTTATAGCTCAGATCAGTATCTGATGCTTTATTTAATTCCTGCTCAGCCTATGCCAATGACAACACTTTGGAATCATTCTACATCACTGAAAAAGAATTCATTAAGAAAAAAGAAACAACAGCTGCTTCATACTTCAATGAAAGGTGGGTTTCCATTTGAAGTATTTTTCTTTCTCTACCAGTGAAAGTCAAGTTAACTAGAATTACAAAATAAAATCACAATAGAACTAGGGATCATTGTTGCTGGGATGGAGGGAGTAAGTGAAAGTATCCATTTCTCATGTATTCAGCCCTTGCTTACCTGGGTGAACCAGTCGCCTAGAAACTGGTATGATTAAGATCTGCACATGCTGTTCTAATGGCCATGTCCTTGGTTGTCATATTTTAGAAGCTATGCTATGTCATATCATCTTTTTAACCTCATTCTGTTCTAAAAAGTTCTAGTCTGATCTTCCTCATGGTGTTTTCTTAGCGCACCCTGTGTAGTTGCTGAAACTGACAGAGGACCTGGGACAGCTGCACATGACTCCTGAGACCTGAAGCTGGCCATGGCATGCTACATCGGGTGCACTGCTCACTACAGGTGGTGCCTGATGTCACACTCCAGTGGCACTGCAGACCTCTTTTCTGAGGC